AATGAATCATTACTCTGTTGCAGTCAAATAAACACAACTATAAGCAGAATTCAATGTGCTAGTACCGGCAGTTTTTCGTGAATATCTCGGAAACTAAATAACTCCTCCCGTTATATGTATAGGAAAAAGGTGTTCAAAATGTCGAATTTTACAACATATCCAAAAATGATCAAATCAGAGGGTAGGCAACTTCTCTGCAGTTTATCATAGTTAATATTGGTTAATATAATAACCTTGTATCACTAGGTCACTTTACCGATCCTGGTCATCGACGGACGAAATGGTTTACGGTAGAGTAGCGCCCAGTCCACAGGTGATCGCAGGTATACGACCCCACCAAAAGTTAAAGGTCGCAACGTTAAGGGCGTCCGGGTTATTGGACCGAATATGTATTCACTTCACTGCACGGTCACTAACGTGTTGTTTCTACGTTATAAAGATTGCAGGACCCAAATGGGGCCGATTGCTCTTAATTTAACAAGTGTTCCATGTAGCCACCACCAGTGTTCACGCAAGTTACAGCGCGCAGAATTATTTGTCGCTGAATTCGCTACAACATATCTTGAGCAATATTGGTCACTGCAGCGTGAATTCGCGCAATGGCTTCTTGAGGAGATTCCACCAGCTGACGGTACATCTCGTTCTGAAATGATTGTTGTATAACAAATAAAAAACGTACGTAAAAAAAAGAAGAATACTTATAACAAAAATAAGTATAAAGTAACAGCAGTAATCAAATTACCTTCAGATAGGCCCAGAAGAAAAAATTCAGCGGATACATACGCGAACGCTTGCACCATTCATTTACAACCAGAACATCGCGTAATATTCCCGTGAAGTGAACATTTCTGTTGCCCGATCGCTAATCGACTGACAGAATTTTTCCGAAGGGGTTTCCTCAACCTCAAGTAGTTTCCCTTCGTTCCATTCACGACAACAAGATTTAAGTAAAAAGAAACCAGCATTCTAAGTAGACACGTGCTTTGCAGAAGTGCAACGAACGAACCATCGTACAGTTTCACAGAAGCGCGTGCTCCGTTAATTTATTGCCAGGGTACTCATTGCTTCGAGATAGAAAGCAGAAACTACATTCTTTTCCTCAGGGAGAAGGAAAAAACAGTTTTCATCGACACATGTTCAGTTGACGCTGTTTGGCCCTGTCCGAGCACCTTAGGAGAGGCTGGAACGGACGTTTCAGTTATTTATGGCCTAATTACTTCGACCTCGTAGCAAACGGGTCATTTCATGCGAAATCGGACACTTTTTGGAGCATCATTTCGGATTTTGTTCAAAGTTGGATATGTTGTAGTCTTTAGCGATATATGAACGTATCTCGGAGAATTTTTGAAAATTTTAAGAATTGTTGATTTTACAGCTGTTTGAAATTCAGGGTCAACCTTTTTTCAATAAATCATAACTATTGAATCAACAAACTGATCAAAATGAGCTTTGCGGGTACTTACAGTGGAGACATAAGGGTAACAAATAAAAATTATTTCAGTTAAATAAAAGATTCCTTTTAACTATTTATTTTGCAATTGTCAATAATTGCCCTGTTTTTATACCGAGGAACTATTTACAAATTTTTTGAAAATGAGGATATAGCCCTATTTGTCCTCTTTATGGACATATTATTTCGAAATTAAACGCTATTATTGCGAATGTGCGAATGGTAACCATACTGTCGGGTTCTGTTCACACGTAGATGCCTGCAGAAATTCTCCGTAAGCTATTCAACGCCGAACAGGTGACATCAATAATTAACGAAGACAGTGACGAAGATTGACAACATTATACAGGATTTTTACTGCAATTTATCAACAACTGTTCAAGGTACCAGATTTAAAAACTAGTTTGAACAATACCGTAATTGACAGAATACTTGACAAGAAAAACAGTGACATAAAAAGCGCTCCAGCATCATTTGTACGTATATTTCAGGTTAAAATATTTTTTAAGTCTTCTTAAAACGTTTGTAAATAGATATTAATCATTGTCATATAGTTAGGAACTTACAAAATATATCGTTAGTAAAGAAAAAAAAATGAATACGAGGAGGGCTAGATCCTACGTTCAAAAAGTTGACAACGGTTATGAGTCCGACATCTACTCGCTACGTTACCGGCGCTGTTGAGAAAGCGGTCGATAATTTAGAATATACGCGCACGACGTATGAAAGTTTCAATTGATTGAGTTTACATATTTATTTTCTGTCATTTCTATGTTGTTTTGCTCAATGTATAAATATTTACGATTGTATAATATAAATAATTTAATAAAGAAAATACAAAAAATTCAAGGTATAAGATACCGTTTCACGGAAAAATGTCGACAAAACCGGTTTTTAATTTTTTTAATTATGACGCACCAATCCGATAAATCTGAAATAATTCCAGGATAATAGTAAAAACAATACCTACTTACTGTAAAAATGGCATTATCATTCTGCAATTGCTTCAATACGAAATCGGGATTTTCCAGCATGTTTTCGCGTTTTTTACTTTTCACGGCTTGAATTTTATTTAAAAAATCTGAAAAAATTCCATAATATGTGGCCCGATAACTAAAATATCTGATCTTTTTTCAAAATTTGTATACGATACGATAGCAGAAATTGAACAAAAACGTGAATTTTGATTTTTGCCCATTATTACCCCCACCCTGTCGAGATACAAAGCTGAAACTCGGCACACATGGGTTTTTTGTTATAAGCTATCAAATGAGTCATCACAAGTTGAATTTGGTTTAGGAGCGCATTTGACCCCCTTATTCGGCTATAGCCTTTGTGTTTTACTTTTTATAAGTTTTGTCCAAACATATGTACATACAGGTGCAAAATAAAATTGTGTTGCTTACATGTACATATGTACATATACTGCACACTTATATGTATATATTTGTACTTTTATATGAAACTGTTTTATTAATAATAAGTATGTGAAAAAAAATAATAAGTGCAGCAAAAGGTTGCGGTCATTAGTACTTATTGAATTAGGTGATTTTTCCCAATTTTGATTTCAAATGTACTACCAATATCTTTTATACATGCATACTGAACGATCCTGTACAAAAAAATGTTTCATTAAAATCAGTAAGTGCCAGGTATGATGCACTCCTTGCATGTGTCTCAGAATATTTTGCAGATATTCAATATAAAAAAAGAATATTTATATCATAATAATCTGTAATCTTAGATTATTACTAATTAGGAGGTAACTTAGCAATATAAAATAGCAATACAGACAAGTTAAATATCACATAAAAAGTATAAAATGTAAATTTTAATTAAAATCTTATGTACATATATATACATATTATATTTGACACCCACTATGAATATATAAAATACAATATACAAAAATGAAAAATATAAGTAACATATAATGTATAATGTGAAATATTGAATCTATAAAAGACTGTGACTAAAAATGACCATTTTATGCACTGCTTGGAAAATAAAAATTTCTACAGGATGTTAAGAGTATGTTTTATGGAAGTATAATCATTCGTATGAAAGACAATGGGAAAATTATAAAAAAAATGAAGTACAAATGTCGTAGCCATATTAATATCGAGGAAGACCAAAGTACCATTAGGTGATTGCTATATGAGAGCAGCAATCAATGATGCGTTCGCTGACAGAAGATACTACAGCCCTTGTGCATCTAAGAAGCATTTTATGTTGTAATAACTTAAATTATAATCCATAATATGAAATCATACATACAATTCTCAGATATTCAATACACCAAGTGTAATATGTAAAATGTAAAACTGGGTATTTAGTAAATAATATGTAATGTTCAATATAAACAAAAATACAAATACAATTAAGGCATTGTACAAAAGCAAGCATACAAAAGTTTAAGGAAGTTAAGGAAATACAGTTGTGGAAATTCCATTATATTTCAATCAATTTCATTCGTTACATTAGAAAGTATTGTCTACCACATTTATACTTGCTTATTTATACTTCGATTGTTTAAAATAACGAAAATTTTTTAAGATATTTTCATTACACTCGTAGTAATATATTAGATACATTATAATGTATTGCAGTTCTTAACAAATCGCATTTGGAGAAATGTACATCCTCCTCCCCTTCTTCTAAATTGAAATATAAAAGCGGAATAGTTCGTACGCGACACCGGTTATATAATACATAACGAACCAGAGAACTGCAATTTTACTTACGTTAGAGGCACGGTGAATATATGATGAGAAATTGAACGCTCGTACATTAAAAAACGGAATCAATAAAAGTCTATTATAAGGCGTGTGTTATGTCAAGTACAATAAAATGTTAATTCAAATATTCCTTCGTATTATACGAATTATACCAAAGGATATTCTATGTATTATGAGACAATTTCTCATAATATCAATTATATTATATCAATTTTATAACAAAAATTTCCGAAAAAATAAATTATTGCCGTGACAGAACTATAACCTGGTTTGTTTTACGGGGTCTGGAAAATATTTAGTGAGACAGAAAAATCTGTATCACGTGACAATGCACGCGGTCACAATTATAATATACTTCTCTGAGGTGTGGAAGACGTAACTGCAATATGTACATTATTACACTAAATCAAGCTCAAATTGCGTAATTGTCATTTTAAACGGAACCTAGTCACACAAACGGTACATATTTACTGATTATATAAGTCGTCTTTTATCCGAATAACACTAGAATGTTATGATTACCGGCTTGTTTAGTATATCAGTTGAGAGATGTTTTACATAGATCTCAAAACGTCAAATGTCTGATATCAATAAACAGAACGGTCAACTAAAGGCACATTGTTATGAGGTTGACAACGGACATTTCTTTATCTGTATATATGTTACTACGTATAGTCGAAGCATCCAACAAAAAGTATTCAGTTTATCGGAATAAACTGTATAATCGCAAGTACGTGTGAGGTGTATAAACTGCTAACACACTTCTCGAGGAAACCTGTTAGAAGTACATACCTATATATTTTGCCACTTACCTTCTCTTTTGCTCTGCCCGCATGTTTCTGTACTGTTTTCGCGATCAACGCTCCCTTACTTTCAGCCATGTTTGATGTGTTGCTGAAAAAGTTGACAACACGGAATCCTATCTGCTGAAACACTAAATTAAACTTTAAGCTTGGCAAATTTTTCGTTGCACTGAACTACACCCAAAACGTACAAGTGGAAGCGCGAAGAAACACTGAAGACTGAACGCTACTTGCATTCCCAGCCAGGTTTACGAAGCTTATAACTGTTAACGTGTAGTGGCAGCATCATCCAAGCTTATGTAAGAAAAGCGTTGTTAGTGTTGCGCCACCTACTAACAGTACATAGGGCTAATATCTGTGCGACCACTGACGAAATATGTACAGTAGAAGCACCGACGAAATTTAGAATAGACCTGAAATACCGATCGTGCAAAACATCAAAAATTTTTTGCTGTCCTCTACGTTATGAGAACGGTGAATTCGGCAATTATATTCAATCTATTCGAGCTCAACTAGTCAAACTTCTACAGTGTTGCTAAGCCTAAAGCAGCCTAAAGTACGTAACGTTGTCAGATAATGAGTGTTCGGTATGTCTGAAAATCACCGAAGTGCCATGGTCTCAAACGGATTCTCTTCTGTCCGTTCGCTGTAAAATGCTGTAAAGGAAAGGGGTTTTGGGTTCTAGTCCCGCCAGACCTATTAGGTTTTCTTTCGCGAACAAAAAAATTATTGCGTTTAGTATTGCTTTTATGAACACGTATATGTATTATTCTTTACATTTGAGTAAAATATTTCATTTTCCCATTGTTATTACAGCAATTCAACAGTGACAACGAACGCAGTACATACGTGTTCATAATAACAATATTAAACGTAATTATTTTTTTGTACAAAAATAAAAATCTCGACAAATCCGACCCCAAACCTGCACAAGTTCATTGAAATCGGTATGGAACACTTCGAAGCTTTATTTTGTCTTTATTTCTAATCATTTTATGATATCTATTGCGCATACTAATAGGATCTCGAAATCAAGTATTAATGTGAGCATCTACCGCTGAGCTGTGAAATTATGAATAAATCTTTTATTTAATAAACACAAACGAACATAACCTAACTTCTATCATTTTGCATATAACGAAATCTAACTGTAATTTTAAACATTGGAAAACGTTTCTTGTACGCCTTTTAAGACAGTATCATAGGATTATTAAACATTCTTCAAACTTTCCCAAAAAGTACAGAGAATGTTATACTCGACGCCAAATAAGACCATAACTGCGAAATGACGAATTTCGGTCGTGTTTGCGCATATTCCTCTCGGTTACCTTGGTTACCAACATCTTAACACTTGTGCATCACTATGCCTGATGCATAATACCTCGTGTAGCATTATACATCGAGTGACTGTGAAGTATAAACGTGCCAATTCATAAGTATTCATGAATTGAGAAATACTTCATTATATCACCCGGTGTATGACAAATTCTATCGCCCACGTTACAGAAAGCACCAAAGGGGGGGAATCGAGGGTTCGAGAGACCTCTTGTGCTCATTCCAGATGCGCGAAACAGTTATGGTCTTATTTGGCGTTGTTTGGCGTTTATACTATAGACAGAAACTAAGCAGAGGCTCGGCTTTGTGCAAAGAACAAATTTATGAGCGACTGTAAACCTTTCCGCCTTGTCATGAATGCTCCGAAGTGGATTCGAGTACGTCGCACTCATCGAGACATTACTGCAATGTACATAAATTTAGCAAATTTAATTTACTTGCGAAGTCAAAGACTGCTTTTGCAATTTCAGTTATTTATGTTACTGATGAATGTTTATTTATTCATTTGTTTTTACAAAACTAAAAGGGGCTTTCCAATCTTTCTAAGTGCAACATCATTGTCTTTTTATATATTACATATTTTATTGGGTTAACAATATTTTTATATATTTGGTTACAATTAAATAATTGACAATTAATACCTGTATACATACATATATTATTTATTATACATGTATATTTTTTATTGCGTATATTGTATGTAGTTTATACATATGTTTGTTTATGTGTTTAATATTGTATATTGAATATCTAAATCAATATACAAAATATTATAAAAACATTTGCGTAACATATAGTATACCTGTTTCAAACCTTTCTCTGTAAACACCGTTACTTAATTACCTCTACGTTTACATCCTTACTTTCATTTGGTAATTTCAACACAGGGCATCTTCTACGCGTTCTACGCTTTAAATTGGATTTTTTTCGATTTTTTGACGAAAAACATATACATCTACTAGACCATGGGCGGGATTCATAGTCGCGCCTCAAGCAACTGCTTAAGCAATTTCTTATTACCTTCAGCAAACATGGGAAACTTTCCGTTGTATCACCCAATGAGAAATGGTTTTGAAAATGCGTCTGCATTGCGTTTCGTTATTCTTCCCACATGTATACCTGTGTGTACCACGTGCTAAGAATTCTGTGTTATTCTGTACAGTCATGTGCAGTTGAGTAATCAGAATGGTTAGGTCGTGTATGTTTTGTAGCGAAAAAGAAAATAAATAGAATTAAATTTATATGCTATTTGTAGGTTAAGTGGAATCTAATTTATTATCTAAATACTTCTTACTTGTAATAAATACTCCTAAGGAAATAAAAAATTTTTTTGTTTGGTTCATATAAATTTCCGTTGAATGATGCAGAATATTTGCGTCGTTTGTTACAAAATATGGGTCTGGATTGAAACTACCTTCCAAAAACACCAAGCATTTGGAGAACAAAATGTTTTCAAGAAAGAAGCGTTCCTACTTTATTCGGACAATATGAATCTGCTTGCGTCTTCTGTTAGGTTGCAAGAGGACAAGATAAAAACAGATCATTTCGCAAGTAATATATGAGTTATTCTAATTAACAAGCTTACTTTTAAGTTACAATAACTAAAATAAAATATTTAATGCTTAATTACCAGATGCGATCTAATTATTTAAAGTACAATAAAAAATTAATAACAATTTAATTTAAAGTTCGTACATAAACTATTTTATATAACTTCATTAATATTGTTTCAGTATTGGCATTATGTGAAGTTTAACTTCCTATTTTTGCAGATTTCCATTACATAGTGCAGTATTGCTTCAGAAATGGGTTGCAGCAATGAATTTAGAAGACTTCGTCCCAAATGAGAAAAGTTTGCTTTGTAGCAATCGTTTTGAAAAGGATTTTTCGTAAACCAGGTTGTGATGCCTGTAATTTAACTCTGAAGAACAATGCAATTCCTACCATAGTTACGTTGCCGCTATTTGACAGTAATATGTCGTGTTTTTTAAATATTCTTTATTTTACTTTCAGAATATAAAGCACATTAAGTAAAATTAATACTATTTTCAGAAACACCTGCTGGAAATCCCAATGCTTGAAATGCTTCTGAACTCTCTGTATTTCAAATGAAAACATGTACCTCATCAGAATTATGAGTTTCGAAACGATTCAAGTACTAAAATAAATGTTAAATCGAACATTAATTTAACATAAATTTCAGTAATTTACGACACCAAGTGGTAGGAGGCACTTACACCTAGATTGCTTTTTCCCCTATAGGAAGCCGAGTTTGCTCGTCAGTGCACATGTACTTTTATTGCTAGGAATAAAATTTTTTTATATTTATATTTAATGTTTGTATATTTAACTCAATTAGTCCAGTATCTATTTTCTTTTTTTAGGCTATCTATACCTTTCGTTTTGTATTATGTACGTTTGTTTCTCATTGCTTCTTTGATTTCATATAATAATTTCCGACTTTCACACATGCATTCGTTAGATAGGTATATTTCCCTTTATTACTAATTCATATTCACCGCTGAAAAGTAAAAAGCTGCCTCTATACAAAATGGCGCTCGGGGTCTTCAATTTGGAACACGGGTGTAAAACGGGATCACTATCCAGTTAATATATAGAGGCACCGACGAGGTATAAGAATAGACCTTTCATCTTACGGGAGTTGGTGGCCCACCTAAACTGTAGTACCGACACCATAAAAAGCCTGTGATTTTAACGACCGCTATGTTTTGAGAACGGTGAATTTGCGTTGGGTAGTGACACTAAAATGGAAATGGGGTGAAAAGTGAGCCGCAAAAATACATTGGATGAAATGTCTACTCCTATACCTCGTCTGTGATAGAGGTCAGTAATTAAGACGCGCTGAAATTAATGTTCTCCTAACTGCCACAAGATGTCCCCTCGATCACTGCCGTCAGTGAAGGGGAGTACAGGATTGGTCGCTTCAAAACTAGTGCAGCATGTGTTTCCTTTCCCGCTTCGTGGGTTGTTATTGTGTGGGGGCCCCGCCAGTCCGGTGAGTCGAGTATAGAGAGCATAGAAGACCTAGGCCAGAATCGAACCGCTGTTGGGTTGGCTCTTCGATACGGTGGTGTCTCTCTCTCCGATTGCTGACCGACCGTGGTCCGTCCGTCATATTCCCAGTTTTAAAGCAAGGTTGCGACTGGTGTTGTGACGCAGGAAGGTGCAGTGATCTGTGTACGAATTGCAAAGGGTCTGCCGGCCATGGAGAAACGGATAGATCTGGAGAAACGGGGAAGATCCCCCGGCGAAGTAAGCCAAATAAGCCCCACTTATTTTATTCAATCGCTTTCCTTTCGTCACGAGAGCAGATATCCGTGGTTTGTGTGTTGCGTGCTTGTTTTTCTGTCGTGTGCAACTTTTAGAGCGGGTACAAAATCGAGTTCTTTCTCGCGACCTGTTACCATGCACTCGTTCTACAACGCCACTCTCGGCTCCTTGAGGACGCACGAGAACTTTGATTTCTTGATGGTGACCGCGTGGCTTCGACGGTTTATCGGACAAGATGTGTTCTCGACACCGACACCAGATCACTACGACTGCTATAAGAGTAACTGACATGGCGTGTTCTCTTGACGTTTCAGTAGTTCTTACATTTCCGTCGCCTCTGCTTACTTTACTTCCTTTTTTTTTGTTACAATTTCCGTGATTAATTGTTTTTTGTAGTTTGGCAACAAATTTAAACGAAGTATTAGCTACAAAACAGGGAGATAAAATAGTTGATTACTTGACGGAATCGACAAACGAATTCGATCAACCAATCGCTCATAAACTTTTTTCAGTATATATATGAGCTTTCTACTGATTCACCGATCCTTTCTTATCGCGTCGTTGATATGTTATTGCATTCAAAGTAAATGCTATGCAACTCATAGTTGTAATAATTATATTACTCTCAAAAGTATTTGATTTTTATACTGTATTTAGTGTACGAATTTATGCGTATAGATTATATGTCGTGCATTGTAATACCAAAACAAACTCTAAATGGTTGGCATCATAAACAGTAAAATATGTTTAATCAATGGAGACAGTGGTCCTTTACAATGGTTGATTCCGTAGTGAATCTAAAAAACAATATTCATCATCGTGTAAACATTCAGATTTTTAGCATGATTGTCTGAACTTTTTATTAACTCATCTTCACTTAACTTTATCCAAAAATTAAAAAAAACTTTTATTCCGTTTATTTTAATAATATGATCATACATAAATATGTTCCGTTACAGGGATATAGTATCAGTGTTATTGTGTATAATATAGTTTTTTTGTACTAACAAAATATTGTTGCAGCAAAAATTTTGGTGAAATACCTACTTAAATATAAATTTTGTTCTCATAAGAAACGTTATGCTAGACGCAAATGTGATCACATTATAGCGTGTGTGGATGCCTCTCGGAGCACCTCCCGTTCAACCCACCATGTATCAAACACGTGTTTTTATTAATAAAAGCAATCATTCTTTAAAGATGATTCAAACAAATCGATTATTTACGATACGTTAAAATGTTGTTTTTCGGTTCACTTCCTTTCGAATTAAATACTAACGTGTAAAAAAAACTTGACAAAACAAGGTGGCGTTTCCGGTAGTGTTTCGCACTTAGACACAAAGTAGTGTGCTTAAGTTTAACAGTCTTTTTCACTGCACTTTTCGGTGCTTCGAGAACTTCAATCCATTGAAATTTAACGATGTTTTGAAACTGATGAATTAAAGAAATAACGAAATCGAAACGTTGTTCTTCGTATACTTCGTCTCATTGTCATGTTCCCATTTATGTTTTTAATTTCGTGATTTGTCTGTATTGAAAGTTATTATTGGTTAATGTATTTCATTATCGTTTCTTAATAGACAATTAAGTTTACTAGCAAAATATTGTATACAATTTGAAAAGTGTTTCTACTATTCAGTATCCAGTTATAAGGGGAATAACAATCTATAAACTGTGGATTGTACTACGAATTACTTCACGATAAATATTTTTACGTATTTTTTTTAAATATTTTCAAATATCTAATGGTGCATAATTTTACTCATGAAATTGTTTTATGTTTCGCGCTTCCGGTATGTTTTCGTCGTATCTAATAAAAATACATGATGCAAATTATCAGTAGACAATGTGGTGCGTGAGATGCTTTTAAGATGTGGATGCAAGTAGACGTCGCGATTATTTTGCGGTGCGCGTGAGAATATTCTTATCCATGATCACATTTCTATAGTATTTTGAATATCTACTATTTGAAAATATTTAAAACGTCTTTAAAGTTTACAAACAATGATGACCAAATTGCATGTATATCTTTTTATGAGTTTTATCTGCAACTCTATTCCATAGCATGTTAGTGATCACTGTGCAGCCATATTGGACGAGTCCATTCTGTTATCAATTGACACGCGTACAATTAGACATACCATGAGAAACCCGAAATGACTATTTTCCACGTGCTCCATAATGTAACAAACTACATTATGTTAGTTAGCCAACATTCGATACTATTATATTTATTTTTCTTAATTTCCTTACGATGATACATGCATATGAAAGCGCTTGTCAGGTTAACTGCCGGCGTTGCGATGCAGTTCATCCATAGACACAGAATATATGTAGACTGCGCGTCATCCTGGGCCGGCGTACCAACTTTAAAATTAGACGGGTTGCATTTGGAGGACTTGCTATTTTTTTCTAACATAGCTCAGTCAACCACTCAAGACGCAAACCCCGTACTGATCTGTATATATGCATACGGGATGGGGTATATTTGGTTGTTGACTTTTGAAGATACGCCATCTTTGATAATACACAGGCATTAGAGAGGTGGGTATGTTCATCCGCCATTTTGGATCCAGTAGATGGATAAATCTACAGAGGGTTCAGGTGGTATCTCTCATTGCTTTCTCTCTCCAGAGGACCTAAAATGGCGAATGAACATACTCATCACTATAGTGCCTTCACCTGGACCCAAAATGGCGAATGCGAATACCTTCCTCTATAGTGCTCTAAATAAACCACCTCCACCGCCTGGATAGCTGAACAGTAACTAACGCTCTCCATTCACATGTATGCTTTTTCATATAATTTGTAGCGTAATACAAAGTATGTACTTATTTGTTACACATGAAGAACATAAGACGCGAACGATAAATCAGTCAGAAATTAAATAAAGCTAACTCCAATCTCGTCAATCATTGCCAATGTTACCTGTAGCAATTTCTTAAAGAGGCAACTGTGTGAATAGGCATACGTGTGAATGAAAAGCGTTACTTACTGTTCAGTTATACAGGCGACGAAGGTGGTTAATTATTAAAGATGGCGTACCTTCAAAATCAAAACTTGATCACCTCGAATAATGACTTAACGGTACACTTTATAAAAATTTTGACGCGTGGAATTTAAATGGCATCAAGGGGCAGATCTTATAAGGTACGTGCTTTTTTGTGGTTGGAGGAATTTCAGAGATTTCAAGGTCACCTTGATTTTTTTTAAGGAATGACCTATTTTTTTGCACCATAGATCGATAGAGTATCAAATTCTCAGTGAAAATGTGTTGATTTTCATACGTTCTAAACCTAATAGTTAACAAGATATTTACAAAATAATTTTTAATACGTACTTACTATCTGGAAGCTACATGTGCTTGAACTGTTGCCCATCAACTTCAATACAGTGATTATTTTGTAAATATCTCGTTAACTATTGGGTTTAGAATGTACGAAAATCAACACATTTTTACTCAGAATTTGATACTCTATCGATGTATGGTACAAAAAATGGTAATTCCGTTAAAAAAAAATCAAGGTGACCCTGAAATCTCTGAAATGCCTCCACCCACAAAAAAGTACGTACTTTATGAGATCTGCCCATTGATGCCATTTAAGTTCCACGCCACAAAATTCTCATAAAGTTTACCGTTAAGTCATTATTCGAGGTGATCAAGTTTGCTAAGACACCCTGTATACAGATCAGTACCAGATTTAAAAAGAGATGCCAAGTTCTTCGAAAGCTATCTACCTCTTTTTAAACTTGAGATGCCCGTTTTCAGGGAGACGCGCAGTCTATATTTCTGTGTCTATGAGTCCATGCAACAGTGCTGTAGTTATTACTTCTGAATCCTGTTACACGAAAGTGTTGCAATTTGAGTTAGCAACCGTTTTCACCAAGACAAAACTTTAATTAGTTAAACTGTTTATTCGTAAATGACAACATATCCATTACCCAAGGAAAAAATAATCATACGTCTTCATTTTAGACGTATGTAACGACGTATGTAAGTAATATTGTGTAAAATAACAAAGAATCATAACTGATTTGATCTATCCATGAAGGCAAATTTCTATTACAAAATTGACAAAAAAAGATATTAATGTTGCTAAATTTAATTCTGTAACAGTATCTGAAAAAAAAATGAAAATAATAGAAAACACAATGGATATATAGCAGGATAATGGAGTCAAAAGTGCCCTTAGGCCGAATTGGATTTACGATACACCATTCTATAGCTTATAAAAAAAATAACCTGTACCAAGTTTCAACCCTCTATCTCAACCAGGAGAGTAGTATCAGGGAAAACTTTCATGATGCGGTTTTTCCTCTATTGCTCCTATTTAATCGCATGCAAAAATTCTGAAATCAATTTGATAGATAGTGCTCACTAGGGCACGTAATTGAGAATTTTTGCTTTTTTTCGGTAGAGAATTCTAGCTGTGAAAAATTAAAAACGCAAAACAAATGGCGACAAAATTTTGTTCTTATTTAAATCTTAGAGCGACTACTTTTATATAATTATAGTAGCGATATATTATCATAAGTATGGGACAGTAAGGTAAACCGGGTACGAATTACATTATATGCACATTATATGCGAAAATATTTAGCCTGTTCCCAAGAGCGCTGACGGCATAGTGGTTACGCATCCGACTGCGAAAACGCTGCAGAATTTTTGGACATGGGTTCGTTCTTCGCTCGTACTCAATTTTTTTTTCAATAACTATATATATATTTTTTAATTTCTAATTAAATGACAATTGATTGCATTTATTTGAAAACAGATTAAAAACACAAAAACAATTTTGGAGCATTTTTGATTGCACCATGTCGCTAGTGGCATATCCTCTCAATTACAACACTGTTTAACATTTTCTACGTTAAATGAATATTCGAATTTGGTTCTAAAATCAATGAAGACAGCGATGAAGACTGAGGACACTACACAAGATATTTGCTTTAATCCACCAAACAATCCTGACAAATATTTTTAAAACAAACTTCATACATTTCTTTAGTGTCGAAAAAGATAAATAATCCTATAATTAACAGGATACGTGGAAAGAGAAACGGCGAAATAGCAAAGGAGTCTCAGGAGGTTACGCATCATCTTTGCCACAATCCACCCAAGATTATTAAAGGTAAGAGATTTTAAAATCAAATTCCTATATTCATTTAATGTAGAAAATGTTAAACAGTGTCATAATTGAGAGGATACGCCACTGGAGACACGGTGCAATACAAAGTGCTCCAAAATTATTTTTGTGAATATTATTAATCTGTTTTCAAATTAATACAATCCATTGTTATTTAAGTAGAAATTACAAAAATATATAGTAATTGAAAAAAAAATTGAGTATTGGTGGGGCTCGAACCGATGTCCAAAAACTCTGCAGCGGTTTCGCAATTGGACGTTTAACGTAATTTAAGTGAATTTAATTACTATAATTTATATAAGGTAAACGTACCGATTATGAAACGCTTTTTGGTGGGGTTATTCGATTATCATATAATTTAAAAAATTTAATCTGTTAACTTTGAAAGTTTGCTTACCATTCGATATACAAATGTTTTGTGATTACATAATGAGCCACAAAATGTATATGTATTACGAATAAAAAATAATATGATTAAAAAATTAAAGTAAAGGTCTGTACGTATTTTGAAACACCGATTTCGTATCATGACCCGGTGTTTCATATTCAATGTCCCTATTTTGAAACGGACAGTTATCCGTTAGAAATCACGTTACTTATGCCTAGGACATTTACGAAAACATCAAATTTTTTGTAAAATTTACATTAACATTTTCTAAAGTACTTACAACTACTAAAATAAGATCGATTGCATTTATTATTAGTTAATAAATTTTTATTAATAAATTTTTTTTTTTAAGATATATTATATTAAAATAAGCAAAAAAAAAACACTTTGTAAGTAAGTAAGAACGACCGCGGGTTCGAGCTCCGTCTGTACTCACTTTTTTTTTATTACATTACTTACTATATATTTTCTTTAATTTCGAATTAAATAACAATGAGCAATATTGATTTAAAAGCACTTTAAAAACAGTTTAAAATATTTTCATTCTAAAATATGTACAAAAATAATTTTGGAGCAGTTTTCATTGCATTGTTTCTCTAGCTACGTATCTTTTCCTTTACGGGATTGTTTGTAATTTTCTACGTTAAATGAATATATGGTGTTTAGTTTTAAAAGCCTTTATCTTTAATCATCGTGGGTAGATTGCAGCAAATGTAACTGTTTGACGTCCACAGTCTTCTTTCTTATTTTGCTGCTTCTCCTTCCACGTGCCCTAGTAATGATATTTTGGATATTATGGATTATTTGTATATATCGATATTAAATACATACATGATCTTTGTATTAAGAATACCTATCGTTATGATTATTTGGTGGATTCAATGTATTCATTTAACGTAGAAAATTACAAACAATCCCGCAAAGGAAACTATATGTAGCTAGAGTTCAACGATTGTGATGAAAACTGCTCCAAAATTATTTTTGTACATATTTTAGAATAAAAATATTTTAAACTATTTTAGAAGTGCTTTTAAATAAATATTGGTCATTGTCATTTAGCTAGAAATTAAAAAAAATATAATGAATATAATAAAAAGAAAAGTAAGTCCAAGCGGGACTAGAACTTCTGGTCGAGTTTGCAGCGGTTTCGAAGTCGAACACTTAGCCGCTGTGCTGTCGGTGGTTGTCAGTATGTGACTAAATATTTTCACATATAAGGGACATAGTATAGTGTCAGGCAATTGTGTTAATTTAATTTTTTTAGTTTATATATTATTTTGCTAAAATAATATATAACATATATATACTTAATTAATAAAGGAACTACAAAAATTCAGAGTATAAGTTACTTTTTTACCAAAAAATTTGGTTTTTGATTTTTTAAACTACGGTGCACCCTACCAAAAAATTTCAAAAAATTGAGGATACTACTTACGATAATATGTTGCTACTGTGAAAGGACAAATGCGGCGCCTTTAAAACTTCAATAAGAAAAAAGTATTTTTCGTTATTTTTTATTTTTCACAACTAGGATACTCAACTAAACAATCGCAAGAAAATCTTCAACACGCGCCTCGATAAATACTATCTATCAGATTTTGTACAGAACTTTTGCGCGTCGTTAAACAGGGAAAATAGAGGAAAAACCGATAATCCGTATTTTCCATATTACTACCCTCCTAGTCGAGATAGAGGGTTGAAACTTGGCATGAACTGTTTTTTTCTTGACAAGCTATCGAATGGTATATTACAAGTCCAAATCGGTCTAAGGGCACTTATGACCCCCTTATCCTGCTATACCCTTTATTATTTATCTTATATTTATAATTAAAAAGTAAACAATATTTTGTCAATAATTTGTTTCATCATTGCTGTGAAAGGAGTGTTATAACTAATATAATAATAAAATATAATGAAATTTTTGTTTGAGTTTTTTGTAAAGACAATACAAGGTATGACGTACGAGCTTTGATATGGATTATTTTTGTCAATTCAGAAAAACTAATGTACTATAATATGCAAAACAGGAAATGGTATATTTTATAATATCTGTAATTTTATTTGATAACAAGGTTGTTCATGTGTACAATGTTTCTTTTTCAGATCAGAGAACTTGTCCTTGACAATTGCCGAAGTACATATATCGTAGGTTTGACAGATGAATTTGCTGCTTTAGAATCTTTAAGTCTCATCAATGTGGGTCTTACCAGTTTAAAGGGTTTTCCAAAATTGACAAGTCTTAGGAAGGTATATAACAATTTCATTGAGTTTCTGTGACAGATGTATCGACTAGTGTAGGCTACTAATCGCAGGGTGTATCCAACGTTACCGCGGGAACTCGACCGGCAGACTCACGTTCTGATTGGTCGGGGTTTTTCATTAACAAAGTCTCGGATAACATTTTTGCTAAGGAAAAACTTGTTTCAAATTACCCCACGAGTCTCCCATTTTCGGGTCCTCTAACATTTTTAGTTTCGTGAGAGCACATGCGTCAACGATTTTACGGGATCAGCGCAACTATGTCCAAATTATCGATTATCTATCGATATTTTCGCGTTGATCGATATTCATGGAACCAATCCAGTCCTTTTTCTCGATATACCAACGAAATTTGAATCAAAGCCGATAGAAATTTCGTTGCTCGCCATTCATTCTGTCGTGAACCTTTGTAACAATCACGGATCCTGACAAACCTCTCGTTCTCAGTTCGCGCGTCAGTCACCTTAGTACTGTGGACTCTAACTACATTGCCACTAAACATATTGCCACGCGAGGCACTTCCCCTGCACATGTACTTTCGCGTACACCAATTCGCCTCCCACCACGTTGCGTACGCCAACGCATCAGCACGATTCAGCTTTTGCGCAGGCGTCGAGGCTGTAACAGCAGAATTTAGCATGGAGGGGGCTCTGAATTCATCGCTATTTTACTCCCTACAGCCTCGACCATGACAATATAGTTAGAGTCCACTGTATCACAAATGTTAGATTTATCGCTCTCGACGCTTGAGTATAATACGTGCTGATATTCGGCGATTTCCGTAAACGATTTTTGAGGTCGCCATTCTTGTTTCGTGTACGGTATTCTCGATTACCATTTCGCGGTATTCTAGTGCCCTCTGTGTGGAATCGTGTTCTCGTGTCAAGTAATCATACAATAAACTTTAACGCGAACTAAGGTGTTTTTCACTGCTCAAGCACTCCTTCACTGATTGTGAGGATCCTTGTCAGGATGGAATTGGCTATCCTTAGGTGGTCATCTCAACTCTTTGATTCACTCGGCCCGCAATAACTAGCAAACACAACAGTAATATTGAACAATCATAAATTTAAAATATTTTTTTTGTAATGAAGGTAATTGGAGCCACATTAATTAAATTTGTTAATTTATTATACAAACGAAGTGATCCGTCGCGTTTTATAGCAGTGTTTCAAAATGATCGGTAAAGCCGACAGTCGGTTGACTATGTAGTCGGCTCCTTGATGGCCGAATTATCACCTAGTTGGTCAGTCGGCGAAAACCCTAGTCGGTACATCTCTAGTTTCTATACATAGGTACATATATAAAATATATTGAATTCGCTAGGATTTATGTTCTTATTTATTTAATTGAATGACGATTTATTTTAAAATAATGCTGAGAATTAAGGAAAATATGCATGTGTCATTGAAAACCATCCTTGTTTCGCACAGTTGGAACTTAGTGACAATAGAATTTCTGGTGGTTTAAATCTTCTTCAATCGAGTCCAAAGTTAACCACTCTTAATCTTAGTGGTAACAAGATCAAAGATCTTGACACACTTCAACCTTTAGTAAGTTTTCATATATATAATTTTTCTTGAAGTATTTTATGCATTTTAAATGCTTTATAAAGTTATTAACAACTGTGTTTACATTTGTAGAAAGAGTTCAAAAATTTGAAAAATTTGGATCTATTTAACAATGAAGTAACAGAGTTGGACAACTATAGAGACAAAGTCTTTAGCCTTATTCCTAGTCTTCGATACCTGGATGGGTATGTACTTATTATTGTCATTTATACAAAATACCATCTCATGAGTTTCATCTTAATGTTGTTAATTTTTTTATTTAATGCAACAGATTTGATATAGATGACTGTGAAGTAGACGACACTGAAGGAGAAGATGACGAAGTAAATGGAAATGAGGATGGCGATGGAGATGCCAATGAAGAAGACAGTGAGGCAGGTAAGTCGAAATTAAAAGTACATAGTGTAGTCAGTGTATTTCATACAACCTAAATTTATACTGCATAAATACTTGTGGCTTCATCTAGGTTGACTCAATATCTTTAGTCATTTTGAATATCTCCGTTATTTTTAGAGATATGGAAAAACTTTAAGCAAATATTTAAAATAGGGGAGGCAGCTCCGATGACCTTGATCTTGACATACGTTGTCAAGATCACCCTCCTCAGTGACCTTTAGAAGGTTTCAGCCGTCGATCGTGTTTTATTAAAAAGTTATAAACAAAAAAAAGTTTTTTTTGGATGTGGTTCAGTTCCCACAGCAAGTACTAAACATTTATTTTTTATTATATCCAATACATACTTTTTTAATTTGTAAGTAAATCACAATAAATAGTGTTATTGTTAAGGATGTAGGGTAGGATAATCATAGTGTTTAGGATATCATGAAGGCTTAAGGAGTTTTTATTAGAGGTCGTGATTCTGAACGTGTATTAAAAACACGCGTGTACACGTGTATTACACGTACACATACGTCAGTTCGTGTCAGTTTAAGTTCATGTGTATTGAATACGCTTGTACTGTTTCACGTATATTTAAATATACGTGTACTGTTTCACATATATTTGAATATACGTGTATTAACGAATCTGCATTTCAATTCATATTAATTTTTAGGATACAGTTACTTATTTTGGAAAGCATAGTTATACAAATAGATACAAAAGTAGAGGGTATAGCCCGATAAGGGGGTCAAAGTGCCTTAGAACGAATTGGATTTATGATGGGCCATTTGATAGCTTACCAAGAAAACAATGTGTACGAATTTTCAACGCTCTATCTCGACCAGGAGGGTAGTAACAGAGAAAATTCGGATTATCCGGGTTTTCCTATATTTTCCGTTTAATGGCATGCAAAAAATCCCCGCTGCTGACAGACCCGTGGGCCTGCAACGCAGACGTTTTATTGCCCCTTTGTCTACGGACACGACTACTCGAAACCCTTAATTTTATTAAACGAAAGTTTTCTTTCGTTTGAAGCAACAACATACCTCTCACGGTTCTGTCCGCAACAGGGTGTTCGGTCTTAGGTGAGATAGATTGTATACCAGCCACAAGTATTTATCAATATTAATTTAGGTTGTATGAAATACTAAAAATATATGTGTATATATATATGCATATATACATACATATATATATGTATATATATAGTTGTAATTTCAGATGAAGAGGATGATGATGAGTTTGACGAAGGCGGTGTAGGTTTAGAAACTGTATACAAGGATAGTCTGGAGGTAAGCCAATTATAATACATGTTATGTTTTTATTTATAACTACACACAGAATTGAATATTTGTAAATATAACACTGTTTACTAAAAGACTATCACAAAAAATATTGGTGATACATATTGAGTTGTTTGGAAAGTTGTTTCAGAGGCATTATTTTCATTACATTCTATTGGGAAAATAAGAAATCGATTGATTTAGTGAATATGTACAATGTTCAGTATGCTCAAACCGTTTAGTATGAACTGAAATAATATGAGAAAACATGGACTGCATCCCTGTCACGTAGTTTCAAACGTGTAAAGGAAACTACTCACCTTTGACTGAGAAATTTTGTTGCCTTTATATTGTAACATATTTCGTCATATCAGATAACACTGCCCCACAGCCGATTAGTATTCCGATCCCAACTGTGTGATTCTTAGTGTTTGATACACTGATTACGAATCTGTAAACCGTTTTTCTTCTATACGCATAGTTTTTGAGAAATTTGATTTTGATAAAATTAATATTTTTCAGATTCACACAAAGGGTATAGCAAGATTAGGAGTATCAAAAGTGCCCTTAGACCTATTTGAACGGGTGTTGAACCATTTGATAGCTTGACAAGAAAAAGCAGTTCGTACCAAGTTTCAACCCTCTATCTTGACTAGGAGGGTAGTAATAGAGAAAATTCGGGTTAGCGGGTTTTCCTTTATTTTCCTCTTTAATAACGCGAACACAGTCTGTAAAAAATTTGGTAGATAGTATTTACTGAGACACGTGTTATAAAGTTTTTTTTTGATTTTTTAATCGAGTACCCTAGTTGCGATAAATCAAAAACGCTAAAAAATGCTGAAAACAGTTTTTTTTAAATTGAAGTTTTAAAGGCAGCGTATTTATCCTTGCATAGTAGTGACATATTATCATAAGTAGTGTCTTCAATTTTTTGAAGATTTTTTCGTAGGCTATGCTATAGTTAAACAAAAATAAAAAACCGAATTTTTTACGTTTTTTCGTGCGCACTTTTTACCAGTGGCACCTATTTGGAATATTTAGAAATGAGAATATCCTTATTCTTAAATTTCCTTCTCCCTTCACAATAGCTGGAACTCACCACCTTCTTGTGGTTCCCAGCAAGCAACGATCTTTCTTTATTGTACACAATTCAAGAAGAAACAAATCGATGCTCCCAAATAGGATTACTACGGAGACCCCTCATCTCAGCCATAGTGCACAAGTGATTCGCTTGTCGTTGAATGATCTAAAAGGGAATAATTCCTCCATCTCAAAATGTTATCTGCGGCTTTATTAACGAGATATTAACGAAAAACCCCGACCAATCGGAGCGCGAGTTTGCCAGCCGAGTTCCCGCGCTAGCGGTGGCTACGCGCTAAGCTTGTACTATGAAGCTCCGAACAAGCAAGTCGGCATGCATCCCAGGAACCCGCGTATAATAGCAAAGAAGAAAAACATAACAAATCGAACTTTTTATCATCTTTCGTTTGTCATTTAAGGTGATGAATGAATGAAACATAAATGTAAGAAAATCATGTGTAACGTAAAAAGACGAATGCACAATTATTTTTTTAAACAGAATCTTTAAGAAGCCCAAAGAAAAATGTAGGTATGGAAACTTGCAGAATTATTGCCGGGAAAAAGTCATTTGTAGCTTGCGTTAAAGTAAAAAAATAATAATCAATAATAAATTGAATAGAATTCACCCTTTCGGAAATTCACCTGCAGCTTGCAGACCTGTGTCAGTAGGTCACTGTACCGATCCTGGTCATCGACGACCGATGCGGTTTATGGCAGGGTGTCGCCCAGTTCGCAGGTGATCGCAGGTATACCTCACCAGCCGAAGTTAAGGGTTGTAACGTCAAGTGCGTCCGGGTTATTCCAGCGAATACGTACTCACTTCACTGCACGACCACTAACACTGATCACCCGACACAATCACTTAATGTATTTTTAATCGAACGTGTTGTTCCTACGTTAGGAAAGTTGGTGGCCCCGAAACGGGACGATTGTTTTCAATTTATCAGATGTTCTACGTAGCCAAACACTTGCACAGCAAGTTTACTATCAATTTTTTTCGCCGCAATCAATTCCCAGCAGATTCATTACTTCGTTTTCACGCATATAAAAAATATTCGCCTTTAGTATTGCTATTATGAATACGTACATGTATTGTTATGTCAATTTAAGAAAAATATGTTCTACTGTTAACACAACAATTTGACAGTGGGAACGAACATTCATTTTGTATGATTGCATATAAGTGGTTGATATTTATCATTACAGCAATCGAAACACAAATTTTTATTGCACCACGAACATCGTATGAAAGGTAATTACGTCTACCGCCAAGTTTCCGCGGTAACGTCGGCTATGCGCTGCAATTGGTAGCCATCACTACCGCGGGAACTCGGTCGGCAGACTCGCGCTCCGGTTGATCGGAATTTTTCGTTAATATCTCGTTAACAAAGCCTCGGATAACATTTTTGCCAAGGAAAAAGTTATTTCAAATCATTCCAGGAACTCTTCATTTCCGGGAGTCGAAGCGATTTTGGGACACCCTGTATAAAGATCTGTAGTCATTCAATAAGAAGCGGTGGAGCGAGTAAACATTTCTGACAATTCGATACCTTACATAACGTGTTAGATACGGTATCTTGTGTACATTAAATATTATTATTCATTATTTTTCGGCTATGGCTGTCTAATTTAAAACTTTTATATTTTCTGTAAATAATTAGTAATTATACAATGCATATGTGATTAATGTAAGTATAAATTTTGTATGATGCAGGATGATAGCGATGAAGATGAATTCTTATGCGATGAGGAAGAGGAGGAAGACGATGATGACATTGAAGATGTCGAACCAGAAGAAGAAGGTAAGTATTGTAAGGGCTGATAAAACAGCAAACGTGCTATCGTTAATAATATAATGAATGGCGCAATTTTATCGTACCTCGCAGATCGAAACTCCCCCTGTATCCCTTATTTCACACTGGCTGCGCCTCTGGGTTAGGTACACACACTAGCTCTCTCTCAATGAAGATGTACGACGATGAAACCCCCATTTGTACAGGCTCGGTCTGTGGGTGAAGACAAGAGTAAGCTGGTACTCACCTTAGGAAACGAAGGATTTGAATTCCCCGACGTTCGACTCCATAGCTCCCAAAACTAGGTAGTAGTGGGCCGATCTTAGTGACTTTCCACACCCTGGATGAGTACGCTGTACCTCCAAGTGGCCCGGGCCTAATAAAGTTGGTTTGGGTGGAAAGACAGGGTTAATAATTCCCCCGGGTAACGCCACCCCTAGACCTTTGGTCTTCGAGCAGGCTGGACACATCATACACCCAGCTCGTGGTCTAAAGGGAATACCGAAATCCCCTCTCCCGGATCGGGGATTTGCCAACACCGGTGGAGACGTGCCTTAAGAATAAAATTAGAGAAAAAAGTATATTACATTGTACCAATCTGTATTAGTAGTTCAAAATTTAGATGCTAAACGTATTGCTGTTTGTCGTCGCCCATCCGTGAATAAGTCGTCACGAAACATATCACACAAATTTTAAAGATACCATGTCATTTTCTGTTTTCCATTGTACAGAGTCATCTCCAGCACGAGGAAAGAAGAGAAAACACGAAGACGGAGCAGATTCGGGGAACTAGAAGTATCAAAAACAACGGTCTGATATTGCTGAATGAGTGCAAAATTCATATAAATAATATCAGTAATTGAGACGTCGAGTGAACCACCTGGGAATCAAAGTAATTGACCGACCAATGACAAACTACAGTTAGTTGAGTGAATTTATCTGTAAATCATTGACTGGCAAATTGTTTGTAGAACAACAAAACATTGCGGTGAGAAAGGGCACGAATGAAAATAAAATAGAAAAAAAAGCGAATAACGATAGCATAAAAGATGGAACTGCATTCCAGCTGGACACAGTATGTTTTAGTTATTCTAACAATATTTTGTATAGAGTATATCGCTAGAATATTAGTGGTGTTGCCTAGTGAACGAGGAAGATCAGATATTGATGGACTCAGAAGCGGCAGTGGAGTTTTACACATGAAGGAGCATATTTGTCTGTTAGCTCCAGTCGGCCAAAACTTGGTCACGCTGGAATGCAGTTGTCGTTAATCAGTAATCAGGTTACCTAAGTTACATTTTAAAGACATTATTATTGTACTATGAGTAAGTCTAGAATACACGAGGAACAACTTTTGTACAGGTTTACACCATACATTGAGGTGCATTCCGCCTCTGTGATTTTTGGGACAGAAAATAAAGAGATAAATATATGTTGCTCATACACGTGAGCGTATACTTATAAAATACGTATTAAGGTAGGGAAACTACATCATGAGAACGAAATAATGTAAAATTGTCTATATACATTTCATCTCTTAAAAATAACAGTGATGGGAATGTATAACTAATATTGACTGAATTTGATAAAAACAAGTCGGTTTAGCACGTGAAAGATATCGTAGTATTTTTTCAGTTATACATTGTTTTTGATATAAGTTAAATAGTTTCTGCTTTTAGAAGAAACAATATCTTGAAAGACAATTGTGAAGTAACGTGAGAACTCAATTTCCATTGTAATATCCAGACTTACATTTTTTCAAATTAAATTGTATGTTTCGGATGTGATGTCGTAATAATCCACGTGTTAAGGTGGATATCCACTTGTTGCGTACCATCGTATCGTATCAATGTGGACGGACAAGCGTTGCATCGCTGCGTATGAAAATGTATCGTATGATGATACGATACGAGGACACGCAGCAAATCGGTACGCACCTTTATATGACTATTACGGTTATTGTTCTTTCCTTGTACGCATTCCACGTGTTATGTGTTACGCTCGGATATAATATAAATTTGTGTGATTATCAATATTATTGAAGTATCTTCCCATTTAAAATTACAAATATGTAACACATAATGGTTCAACATTTTTATTTCACTAAATCCCACAGATTTTTTAATAATAACAATGGAGAATTAGATGTTGGATAGTTTTGTGTTTTAAAGTAAAAGTCCCTGGAGTTTGGAATGCAATGTTGAAAAGCAAAATAAAAACTTCAAGTCGATGGGAATTCAGAAGTACCTTTAATTTCTGTCTCTGAAGTTATCGTAGCGCTAACACATCTCGTGACAATTACAGTGTGGAGATCATTAATATCCATTATGATTATTAAATTACAATTATAATTTGAATGATGACAAGGAATATTTACGTTTGCGCCTTCACACTTTTAAGTCCCATTTATAAATTCAAAGTCAGACACGTAATATTTAGATCATATCGAAAGGACAAATTTCCGACAAGTAGCACAAGAAAAACATGAAGATGGATTAGACCAGGCCTGTTCAAATGGTGCCCTGAGGGCATCAGGCGCTCGGGCTTGCCACGACGATAGCAGTTCGGGCAGTGGTGGTTGTCACGGTATAATCAGTAAACACGAAGCGGTCTACCCTACGCACATCACACTCTGTGTATTCTGTTCCCGAACATTGTCTCTATTCGAGGCACTTTACATTTTCTTTCTTCCTCTTTGAAAATATCCTCTGTTCAACGGATCACTTTCATTCATCTCGGAGCGAAAACGTCTGAATATCACAGAATGTATTCATAGGTGTTAAATAATTATAGTAGTACACCTGGATAATATTAATAATACAATCGGGTTACCAGACCTATCGCTTTAAGTACTTTTGCCGTAGGGAGAAACGCTGCTACTAGGGCAACATTTTTGGACAGGCCTGGATTAGACGATGTAGTTCAGAGATGCCTAGCTCGCTCTCACAAGAGAGTATTTCCCACCGGAAGTACCTCCATTGTGGGACTCAAGCTGTCCTGCGTCCTCCCGTATCCCCCAAATTCTCCCGCCACGGAGCGTGTCAGCCAGAGCTTCATAGTGGGGGTACCTCCGAAGGGGAATACTTGCTCGTGAGCGCCAGTTGGGCATCTCTGATGTAGTTAATTGTGAGACTGGGGCAACTGGATTACTGGGTGGACTACTAAATTAACTACGTAATCGTGAGAATGGATGGGAGTGAAATAGCGGTTGAGAGTACCTTTTCGAGCAAACTCGGCTTCCGGCAGGGAACCACTTGGTACATTTATTCCAAGTACTGAAATAAATGTGAAATCAAATGTTAATTTGGCATAAATTTCAATAATTCCCGATATCATGTGGTAGTAGGCCCTTCACTTACGCCACTTTTTCTCTTAGCGGAAGCCGAATTTGAAGGTTAGTGTACAAGAGAGGATTGATTTTATAAGAAAAAAATTATGGTACATTCGAGGATCTGGCGCCTCTTTGTCGCCAGTTTGGTTATGGCCTTATCCAATTTTTCCAAGCTAAAGCAAATTTGTAATAGGTACAATGAGTGTATGACATGTACAGGTCCAACTCTGTAAATTTCCAATCTGCAATTTGTAATTGCGGCTCGCGCGGATTTCATATTAAAAGTTAAATTATAGGTAATTAAATAATTATACTATATTTAAGAAATTATAATTGATAAAAAAATTAAATTATAAATAACTGAACGTTCCGCGCGTTCCAACACACATACGCGCGAGCGCGTAAACACTGAGGGCCGGTGCTCGAGTTGTTGTTAGCTGCCTGCGTGCTAAAAATATTTGGCCGTCCCTATCAATGCTGATTACGATTAGACTCATAATCTAACCCAACCTATAAGAGCCTATTAGTATGTTTTTATGACTATCTCATATAGTTGATAGGGATAAAAAATCCGTAAAAATATTTGATATATTTATTTGGATTTTATTTAAATAAAAAATGTAAAGGCTATCAAACAGGAATAACACAATGTACCTGTAAAATTAGAGCTGTACTGTTTTTGCTTCCTTATTTGCTAATTCATCAATAATATCTGATAATTCAAAACTTTCACACAATTTCTTTTCTATAACTAACAATCGTAGATCCTTAAACGTTTCTTGAGCCATTGACGTTCTTAAATATGTTTGTATAAGTTTCAGTTCCGAAAAACTCCTTTCACTTGATGCTACACTAATTGGTAGTGTCGGTAAAATTCACAAAGTTGTAAACAAATTAAGATATGATATTATAAAGTGCACGAACGGCCGCCTGCGTGCATGCACGCACTGCACACCTACTAGAACCGGCCCTGTACACACATACATTTGTCAATTGCAATTTCGGATAAACTATTTACGTAATCTATCATCTTCTATTATCAGATATATTACATCTATGTATTGCCTGTCTGTTCCATTGTTCAAATTGGTTTTTATCACAACGTTTGTTTATTTCGAACAATCCTCATCGGAACAGAAGAAAAAATAATTTATTAATAAAATCATCTACAAATCAAAAATTGTACGTCCGATAATTATTATCAATCCATCTTCTCTTTATTTATACAGTATACAAAGAGCGATTAATAAAACTGGTAAGGTTTTAAATCCTTGTTGACTTCCACAGTTTCTGTTTATTACGACAGAAACGTACGTATTACAATTTAAATACAACAAATTGGCTCGGATATCTAGGGTGACCTCCTAGTAAAATTACCTAGTAAAGACCTCCAAATAAAAAGTAATTACAATACGTTAAGAATAACTATTCTTCAAACTATTGTAACTTACGTTACAAATGACCAATTATTGAACTCGTGGTGTGTCGCAAAGATTACAAATTGAATCAGAAATACGGAAATATTATATTAATTGGTACACAGTGCAACTGAAGAGTAAACCAATACCTATCTACAGTATCGAATTAATTTTAGATTATTTAGTCTAAATTGGATGAATATTAAAGGACAGTAACGATAGAGAGCTAATGAAGGTAGTAGTAATTGATATATATAAATAAATATGAAAGGTAAGTATCAAACACTCACTTTGGCATAAGTGAACGGTTTCTACGTCTTATCGCGTCAATTTTTCAGAGACGAATGGCACTTCGGTTATATTCGGCCGGTCCCGATCGGTTCATTCGGCTATATTCGGGAGATCGCGAGTAGCTGATTGGTCAAAGTGGTAGATCCCCGATACGACTTGGCGGGAATAAACATATGCACCACGACAATTTGAAAGACGAATATAAAACTTAAAAAACATAACGCCAAAAACTATATATGTATTTTGTCACTTATCTAAAAGATAACTTATGAAATGTCCGTTAATACATATGTCTATAGAGAATACTAAATTTATTCAGACTTTAGTTCATGGGTAGCATGATCTGGTGACCTGTAACATATTTCTCGTTCTTGTAGACTGTAGACGTAGACGAAGCCAATGTCAAGCTTGATAACAGTCGAACGCCGTCAACAAATTCTTACAGTAATAAAATAAATTTTATTACGTTCATTAAACGGTCCATATCTTACAGGTTTTTGTATATCTCCATTTGTATTTGTTATAAATAATAATAATTTGCATTATAAGACAGCTGGTAAAATGTTTAACAATATCCCTCAAAGAAGTAGTTGTAATAACATTTACTTTGTTAGAAATAATAAATTAATTGAGAAATAATTTTTGGCGCGCTCGATTTACCGGTACGCTCGATTTTCGCGCACTTATCTGCGCAGGTCGCGAGCCTATAAATACGGGCGCATCGGGCGCATAACGAAAAATTCTCAGCTAGTGGTGTTTTGTGTGCTGTATGGTGCTTTATTCATTTCATAGACCGGTCAAAATTGTGTTTTGAATAATTTTCTTCCTTTAGTTTACACGTGGAATACTTTACATTACAAGTTAAATATTTACAGAATAACAGTTGTATAAAGTGCTAATAAAAAATAAAATTTACTCGAAAAGAGTTATTTTGATACAAAAGGGACACGTAAAATTGGTATGTACATATACATGATGAAACAGCGGAGTTGAGGTTATGTAGTAACAAAAAGAGGAATGAACAGAAGCAATGAGTACTAACGAAAATTGGCAAAATTTCACCGAAAAAAAATATACAAGGTTCAAAACAACGAAGCAGTCTAGTAAAAGCAAAGATATAGTCAATTATTGCATAATAAATATACTTTTTTAGCCTTGTAATGCGATCTACCTATAATACTTTTTCTGAACAAACATACTAGGTTAAATTTCATATGTTACCTATTATAATTACTTATTTATAGTGATATTATTAAGTTTGCTGATAATAAGTATATAAATACATAATTGATGATTCTTTATATATATGAATGTATTTGTTACATTTATGTGCCTGTAGGATATATTTTTTAAATTTATGTACTTGTAGAATGTATTTATTACTTTATTAGCTTACACAAAGTATTAATATATACAGTTATTACGAATTGGTTCCTATTATAACTTATTTTTACCTCGCATAAGCATTCAATCATTTAGTGAATATTTAGTAGTATGGATCACATTTTATAAACTAAAGTATAATATACTTTTAACTGACATGGGGAAAAAGTATAAAATGAAATTTAAGTATTATTTTCACTGCAAATTTGTATATAGAATTGTGAAATTTTGTAACGGTTGGTTTTAAATAATTAAAACCTTTTGTAAACTTTTAGGATCATTTTATTATTGGTAAATGTCTTTATTTTAGTTATTTTTATAGGTGTGCCTCTTATACAATTTTTACAAACTGAATTAACACGAGGATATCAATTGGAATATGATGAGGAAAGATTTTCTGCAAGGAGAGAAAAAATTTACTCTTTCATGAAAATACCAAGAGAAGTTGAAAAGTTTATGGTCTATGGATTTCTGCAGGTAAAAATAATGTATTAAATATCATATTTTATTAAAAAGTAAGTTTTATTTACCTTTTTCATAATCTAATTTTTTCAAAATATTAATTGTTTATTTTGTAATATAAGTCTGACTCATTTTCTACATATGATTTTTTAATTAAACTATTATGGGGGTTAATTTAATTTCTGAAGTCAATGTATATATTTTTATTGTACAATTACTTGGTTATATGTTTCCTGATAACTTTTGTTATACAGGTATTATATTATTTATGAGCTCGTTGTGAAATGTTGAAAACTGAAAAATTTTAATTTTAAATAGTAGTAATAATGGGCTTATTATTTAATGTAAATTTTTGCAAATATAAATTCACTGTATCTTTTATTATAGCATTAAAAATTATGAGTTCATTTAAAAAATTGCACAGAACTATGGAACTGTTTTTGATAATTAACAAACATTTGTAGCCACTATTAATTGAATAAATATTCATGATCACTAATCACTTTTTTTTTTAAATAAACGTACGTATTCTGTAACTATTAGTATTTTGTAAATAATGATCATTGTATGGAAACACAGTATATCAAATAGGACACATCAATTAGAAACTTAACGCTAAAATTTCCACTACATGGAAAAAGTTATTACAGGTGTTGATGGGTATATGTATGTACCATCTTTTATGCATTATACATTCATGTTCCTTAGAAAGTTATTGAAATACTTTTAGTTGTCAAAGTGCTTCTTATTTTTAAATTCATCCTGGTTGAATGTATATTTAATAGCAGCATGTATTTTTGTAATAGCAGCATTTAATACATACAATTTCTATTCCAGTGTGCGGATTCTTTTTTGTTTGTTTATACATTTCTACCATTACGATTCGCAATGGCCTTATGGACAGTAATTACAAGACTCCTTTGGCGCTGTTTAGGGTAAGTTTGTTGTAAATTAAATAGAAGTAATGCACATACTATTTTAATTTTTACATTATTTTGTTATATGTTGTGAATTAATTCACATTTATCATATCTACGTTAACAAACTGAGGAGGTATACAAAGTTGTTCCCGCGCGTCCGTTGGCGAGTTCGGCGTTAGATATCAAAGCCGCGACTTTGTCCTGGCGAACGAGATCTAGATTATTCTACGGAAACAAGACGAGAAGGCCTACTTATGGAATTACGATATCCTTTTTCCGGTCGCTCCTTGTCTAGAACTTGCGGGGTGTCGCTACCCGCTGTCGCTCCAGATTTTGTCCGCCCACGAACTAGACCGGTAATTCCTCGCTCGCTATCGATATTTCGCGATACTCTATCCTTCTCTCTTTCTCTCGCCGATCGATACTCTCACTCACCACACGCTATACGGTATTTCTTTTCGGTACGGTTCCCGCTCAAGTGACGATTCGGGTCTCGTTACGCGAGCGAGGATTTTTGTCCCCATCTCCTTCATCATGTCTCTCACTTCTCTGCGGGTAATCGGCTGATTCTGTATGCGGACGACGGACTAGTCGTCCGAATACGAATCCACTGTAACCGTAGCCTTAGGCGGACCTCCTCTCTTGAGATCATCAGTCATTCTTTTGACTTTGAATATGAGCATTCGCGATATCAATTTTTTTTTTGCATGGCACTTGCACATTAATATTTAATTATATGCAACCATTATATAGGTATGTCATCCAATAAAAGCGAGGAGGATTGGATGCAAATAGCTACCCAATTTTATAAATGTATGCATTTTTGCAAATATGACTGGTGTGGTTGATGAAAAACATATTTGTCCGATTAAACCGTCTGATAGTGGTTCTTCATTTTTTAATTACAAAAAATATTTGTCACAAGTGCTCCTAGCATGGGTGAATGCAGACTATACATTTGTTTTACTATTATGTGTTTTTGTTTATAGCATTTTTAAAAATTTAAGTATGGGTAAAAGATTATAAAATAATTTTTAGAATATACCTACCAGTCGATCGGGTTTGCCTACTAATAATGAAGGACGGGTAATGCCATTTTATGTTGTTGACGATGACGCATTTAGATTCGCATATTTCAAGATGTTTTACGATCATTTTTGAAAAAAAATTTGATATCTACAAAAAAAATGTACAATTGTCGACGCACGCAAGCGCAACACTTTATAGAATGCACATTTGGCATTTTAACGAATAAATGGTCAATTTTACATTGGTCTCTAGACGTGAATATTAATTTCTGTTACAGTATTGTTATGACCTGCCGAATGTTACATAATTACGTAAGTGTAAAAGATTGGATACAATTTGTTGGTATTGTCTATTAATCGTCCTCTCGAAAGTAACACAGAGTGTGAAACAAGCGAAAACACTTTTGCGGTATGAGAGTAAGCGTGAGACATTATTTTGTAAACTATTTTACTTCTCAAGGACCAGTTCTATGGCAAGATGTTAAAATATAAGCAAAATTGTAATAAACGACTATGTATACACTTACCTAGTCTTGCTTTTTCCTCCTCAATTCTCCGACAATTGAGACTAATTTCTTATTATAATGGAATACACTTGCTCCCACAATTTTTTCCTTACAGTAATGTCTGCATATTCCGCCAAATGTCTTTCATACAGAATTGATTTTTTCTGCACTTCATGAATTAGCAGTTCAATCTTTCCTTCTTCCAACGCAATATATAATGTTATCAGAAAGACAGTTTTGTCGCTGGTGCGTGCACGTTTATTAATTTTATAACATCGACGACAACATGACAACAGACCAGTTCATATCCAATTGCTAGGCCTTAGAAACAAAAAAGTTGTTCTGCCGTCTTCACCTGTGAGTGCGAAAGTTCGTGCCCGATTTTAATAGATGTCCTTCGAAGTGTTATATGCTAAAACCATCTACTGTTACATGTGCATATCATATATCGGTGGAAAAGTAAAATATTCAGTTGTCATTTGAACAAAAGACTAGTGTGTTTTGATTGAATTTACGTTGTGAAAAAGACATATGAAGATGAGTGAGAAAAAGTGCATTTATGGCATGACATGCTTTATGAGTTTCGTGTAACAGTTGGAATCGCCGTAAAAGAATATTCATTCTATCTATCAGGACCGTGTACCAACAATTGGAAACGTTCAGAAATGATTTGTGAAATTTAGAGATGGCGATTTTCATGTTGACGATAAACCACGCTCTGTCTGACCTTCTGGTATAGTTGATGACATTGTGCACAATTTAGTGCAAGATAATTCAGGCATTTTCATCGAAGAGAGTCTTCAGAGACTCAACGTTGACAGATCGACTACATTTTGGTATTTAAAACAAAAATGTGTACACATTGAAGGTCGATGTGTGGGTGTCACTTTTGTTTATCGAAACGAAGAGATTGAATCAAGTTTATGTAGCTGTGTCCTTGCTCGACCGACTAAATGATGAGGCGTTCTTGGATCGACTGGTGACTGGTGACGAAAACTGAGTCTTCTATGACAATGTGCAACGCAAAAGAACTTGGAAAGTTGCAAATTATCGCCCAAAACCGATAGCAGAACCTAATTTGTGTCCCTCGAAAATTACGCTTTCTGTTTGTTGGGATTTCCAAGGAATACTTTACTTTAAGATACTGTCCGCTGGTCAATTATGAGAAGTACTGTCAACTGTTACAAAAAATTTGAAGAGAACCCGAATACAAGAAAAGTATCTAACTCTGGTCAGTCGTAAGGGAGTTGTCCTTCAACAAGACAATGCAAAATCATACATAGTAACACAGATCTCAGCGAAATTGAAGGAACAGAAATAGGATGTCTTATTGCATCTGCCGTATTTCCCCCATATTGGAACATCGTATTATCACTCGTTTTTGTCATTACAAAACCATCTTAATGGGAACAAATTCGCATCTCTGGGAGCCGTCAAAAACCACAGTTCAAAAACACACAGTTTTATGATGGAACCATCAAAATGCTAACACGACAGTGAAACGATTGTAAACAGCTATGACGATTACATAATTGGTTAATAAAAAAAATTCCACGCGTTAAATTGGTGGTTAAGTTTTAATGAGTAATCGGGCCCGAACTTTCGCACTCACTCAGTATATGAAGCAAATTTTAGGGGTTACTAGACGGCATATGCTTTCGTTCTTCAAAAGGAACGCACGTACTGCCTGGCCGGGAATCGTACGCTGCCGCTCGACGGCAAGACAGTAAGAAAATGTCTGATATGGACCTAGAATTGTTTATTAGCAAATGAAAGGGATTTCGTGAAATATGGAAAAACAAAAAAGAGAACAAAATAAAACGAAGGAAGTAGGAGCGTGGGTGCAAGTGTGCACTGCAATTAATCCAGACTTTGAGAATCTGGTCGAAAAAGAGAAAAGAAATTTTGGTAAATATAAATTCCATTCATTTCTGATATTATACGTACTATAATATTGTTATACATACCAGGGGCTATATTAAATAATATTAAATCATTATTATTATTATTACTGTTGTATACATTCACGTAAACAAATTGTGACTTTAATAATGAGGTTAAAATATGACATTTTGCCACTTGCTTCGAGCCTGTTGTTGTAATAAGGCTGTTAACTCCTCTCGATTATCAAGGAGCAACTCAGCATCTATTGCCTCACGATCACGACGGACTGTCCGGTCGGATTTTTCTCTCTTTCGTTCCATGCGTTGCTTGTCGCGTGCGCGTGTCTTACGAGAGCGAGGAGCGTGAGCTTTTCGCGGTTTTTCCTCAGCTTCTTCACGCACACTTGGTGTTAAATCAACCTTCATTTCAGACATGATAAATCTATAATGGGGTTGCTCTCCGGATATCCAGAGAAAACCCATGTCATAGGGCAGTCGTTGAAAAGACGCCACGACGGAAAAACGTATTTAATTTCAACACGTATTAAGCCTTAAGACTAAAGACGGTACTATCCTAGTTTTATTTTTGGTTTACATTATATCGTAATTATTAAGTTTCTAGAATAAATAGTGTTAGTTTTGTTTATGTTATCAAATATGCAGTTTTTTTTAAATATCGTGTCTCATCCAAAAATTATACCTACAAAGTTGGGGGCCCTTACGGGATTGAATTGTACAAGGAAAGTGCAATTATAAATCAAAGACTGCAGAAATGAGTGACAGACTTATCAAAACTACGGACGCTCAGAACAAGTGTAAGGAACCTGATCTCGATATGAAGCTACTGGAGCTTCGGAATTCTGAATAGAAAAAACGGAAATTGAGGATATGAGAAAATAAAGAAGAGTTGCAACGACGTATAGAAACAGCTGTGTCGCTGGAAGAAGAAAGTGAAGATGAAGACGTTGGCGACAAAGAAGATACAGCTGATGGAAATGAAGGTGTCCGTTTCAAAGACATTGATAAAAACGATTACGACGAATATAAATTGGGACGTAATGCCGGTGGAATGTGCTGACGTGTAAAGTATGTGCCCAGCTTCAAAGATGTTGAGAAATCAATGACAACGTCCAGCTGTGATGATAAACGAAATGTCATAATCTGACTCAAGGAGTTTGAGGAATCTGCCGAGATGTGGGAATGGATGGACATCCAAATGCTTGTGTACGCTGAAAGGTTTTTACGAGGTTCTACGAAATTGTTCAAGAACTATGAAAAATGTGGGAGGAGCCGGAAGTGTATGTAGCGCCTTGAAGTTGGAATTTGGAAGCAAGGTTACCTATATAAAATACACTGAGAGTTGTCGAAAAGGAAGAAACGGGATGACGAATCATATCACGAGTATATTTACAAGATGCTTGACATTGCTGCTCAAGCAGATGTAGAGTTAGATTCTGCGATTCAGTGTATTATCGATAGAGTCCGAGACGTGGAAATGGATAAAATTATACTGTACGTAGCCAACAGCATCGGGGAGTTGAAGATGAAGTTTTTCATCTACTAAGATATGAAAGGTAGCATGAGATAGAAGGCGAAAC